CTCCCAAAGTGCTGGGATTACAGGCATGAGCCACCGCGCCTGGCCATGTTGGGCACTTTTATAAGCACTTTACATTATCTAATGCAACCAAAAACTGAGGTTTGTCCTATTAATAAATGAGAAAACTGAGGCACTGATCTGTTAAGTGCCTTGCTCAGGTCCCATGTCCTTGGAACCAGGAGTCCTTCTCCTGTTGATGTTGGAAGGTTCAAAAGTGCTCTTATTACTTGTCACCCAGATGGCAAAGAACTGACATACAAAGGGCCAAGTCTTCCAGAACTGAAAACAGTAATAAAACCTTCATTTATCTGACCCGTTTGTCCTGGTGATGCTGTAGTCTGCTAGGAGTGCCCTTCCACAGGCAACTAAAACAAACAAAAAAGCTATTCAAGCCGAAGAGCAGCAGTGACACCTGTGATACAATGCCTGACACACCCTTTGGCTTTAGCCAGGACTCACACACTATATTGTTCTGAGCGTTCACTGAGGAAGGCCCCGCTTCTGTCAAGGATTCTCATTAGGAACCAGTCTCCTCAGAGAAAGGAGGTGAAAATGTGGTCTGGAGAACCCCCTTCCCTTCTGCTCTATTAACTATGGATATGCAAATGAACACTTACATTTGACCAAGACCTGCATCACCAGACTGTTTCCTCTTCCCCAGGACGGTGGCTACTAGCCAGTAATTCCTGGGGTCCGTTTGCTAAGCCCTGTTAGGACCTTTGCAGTGTGATGTAATAAGATCTTCCTTTAGCCTCATTTCTTCCCACTTCTTGACTTCTACTCTCTGCTTAAATCATACACCTCTTAGAATTTCCTGAATATACACTATGCTCTCTTAGCCTCTCTTGCCATTACTCCTATTCTTCCCTGCACCTTCTCATTTCCTCCCCTCTTCTGTTCACCCAACTAATTCACTCTATGGCACTATGTGCTAGGAGCTACTTGACAGCAGAGATCAGGCGTCATTTACCCTGAATTCATAGAAGCCGACTTATGCTAGGAGCTCAATGTTAGTTGCTTGAATGAACTACACTATGAGTAGGAACAAGGTCTTACTCATCCTTGTCACAATAACATGCAGCACAGGCCAATCACTTCTGAGTCTCTTGACCACAGACCATCAGATAATGCCACTGTGTATACAGGCAGAGAAATAACCTACCTCAATTAAGTTCTCAGCATTCATAAATATTTCAGAGACCTTTCTCCTCCAGATTGTTGATATTTTTCAAGAGTCAGGCAGTTGGAAGCTATGCAGTATGTAGGAGAGGGGTACTGGCACCATATTCTGCAGCTCCACTTTTATTTGTCAGAGAACCCTGACTGGTAACCTCTTTAAACGCCCAGAGGCCCATTTCACAGAGCTCAAGTGGAGGGAATGGCCCTATTTGAGTCTTTTGGATGATGATCCAGCCAGAGAGGAAATACCTTGGTCACTCAATTCTCTATAGTTCCAGAGGGTGCTGTGTTTCTTGCTACCTAGTGCATCCGAACTCCTGGTTTATTTCAGACTTCCCTACCATGAGCTCCTTCTGAGGTCCAAATCACTAGCAGCTACTGAGTGGGCGCTCAGTAAAAACTCATGACATACGGGTCCTATCTGTCAGTTCGCCGCACATAGGCTCGACTGCATGGCCAGTGATCACATGGAAGGCCTCCTCCCACCAGCTGACTGGATGGGTACTTAGCCAGAAAAGGTGACTTGTGAGGCTTGTCTTAAAAGGATGATCAGGACCAAATGGGTTTCTTTCATGGAATTTTAGAATTAGGACAAAGACACTTGGGTGTTAGAAGATGAAAGTTCACTAGATATGAGAGTTGATGCTGACATCTTGGGTCATGTGCAAATTTAGTTGTAAGCAAAGGAATCCAACCACCAGTGAGGGGATGGACAAAGCAATAACAGAACCCATGTGGTGGTGGTGGCAGTGGCGAGGGGTGGGGGATGAAGACAGAGGGAGAGAGCAGGCACACGTGCTTGGCTGCTGGTGGTTCCCAGGTGCCACAAGGCCTGGCTGTACTGCACTTTTAAGTTACAAAAAATCCTCATATATTACTGAAACTTCAGTTCTCCCTGAGAACGGACACTGAAATGAAGGGCTTGGGCTTAACAGGATATGGTAACAAGGGTCCTCCCTCCCAGACCCTTATACTCCCAGAACTCCTCCCAGTTGGTTGGATTCCTTTGCTTACAATTAAATTTGTACATGACCCAAGATGTCAGCATCAGCTCTCCTATCTAGTGCTTTCATCTTCTAACACCCAAGTGTCTTTGTCCTAATTCTAACATTCCACGAAAGAAACCCAATCGGTCCAGATTATTACTGTTTCACAAATAAACAGCACCCTTCCCCTCATTCCAAGTTTGGAGGCTGGAGGAGGATGGGGCAAATAATTGACACTGATATTCTCCACTCTTCTGCCCCCGCCTCCTTCCACACACACAGTTCTCAACTCAGCATGCTGGGTCTCCTTGCCTATATTCAAATACAAACCATTGGAGTTAGAACAGGAAAGAAGGGGGAATAAAACATCAGACTAGCCGTATCCTTGGGAACTTAGATTTTTAATAATCTCTCTCTTCTACAGGGTCTCCTCCTCTCCAGATTTTATTTATTTTTTTCTTGTTCCCCATATGATCTCAAGAGATAGAACTAGAGGGGAAGAAAGGAGGCAGACAAAAGAAATGGGTAGAAAATAGATGGAAATGATAAAGACAGCAGCAAAATAAAGCTCAAAAGACAAGCACAGGACAAGAGAGAAAGGGAAAAATGAAAGATTTTGAAGCCTAGGATGGAGGCAACGACTCAAAATTGGCAAAATATTAACTCTGAGAGGTCACATAGCCCAGAGACTGGATGCTGAAGGTTTAAACAGTTAAGAGTTCACAGGAACTTACTCCATTGCCACCCACAAACATCTTCTGTACCCATCGTTTGTGGATGCCCGTCTCTCCCAGTGGAAAGTTTCCTTCTCCTGTTCAAAGAGATCCCTACAGCCTCCGCCTGTGTTCCAGACCTTATTTTCCCACTTTGAGCTGCATGTCCCCTCCTTTCTGTACCTTCACTCTTCCACACCTCTTTTTTCAGTTTTGAACATGCTCAATCCTACCTTAAATCATACAAACACTTCCTGGCAGATTGTTGGATGGCTACATCAACACCATTCTCAACCCCCCTTTTTTGTGCCTGCCTCCTCTATAGAGGCTGGAAAGGTTAAATACTTCTTTCCACAGCCTTCCTTGCGCTAGGAGGTGGCCATGCGATACAGCTGTGGTCAATGAGCTGTAAGCAGGAGTCTACTGAGTGGCCTCGGGGAAAAACTTTCCTCATCAAAGGCACTGATGTTGCTGGTGCTCCCCTCCTCCTCCCTCCTGCCTTGAATGCAGACACTTTACTTGATGCTATGGCCATCATGATGTAACCATGATGGAAACCCCATTAAACTTAAGACACTGAATTGTTTTATCTGTGAACAAGTGACAGCCACCTCCAGATTTGTTATGTGAGAAAAATACATCTCTACTTTCTTACACCATCATGGACTGGGCTTTCCATTGTTTGCAGCCCACAGCTCTTCTGATATGCTCCAAGCCCCAGCCTCCCTCTAGTTGTCTTTCTGAGTCTCTCCCACCTCAGTAAAGCTGCTAAGTTCTTTTTAACACTTAACCACTCTTCAACCAACTCAAACAGGTTTTAAGCCATCTGCCTTCAATTGACAGCCCAAACAAAAGGACACAGTTCTACTTTGTATTTTTTTTGAGACAGAGTCTTGCTCTGTTGCCCAGGCTGGAGTGTAATGGTGCGATCTCAGTTCACTGCAAGCTCCACCTCCTGGGTTCACACCATTCTCCTGCCTCAGCCTCCCAAGTAGCTGGAACGACAGGTGTATGCCACCATGCCCAGCTAATTTTTTTGCATTTTTAGTAGAGATGAGGTTTCAGCATGTTAGCCAGGATGGTCTTGATCTCCTGGCCTCGCGATCTGCCTGCCTTGGCCTCTCAAAGTGCTGGGATTACAGGCGTGAGCCACTGCAACTGGCCGACATAGTTCTATTTTTATCTTACTTTGCCCTCCATAGCATTTTACAGTATTAAATATTCCTATCCCTGTGTTAAAGCTATCTTTTTACCTTTGTGGCACCAACTTCTGATTTTTCTGTTTTTCTTTTTGCTGCTTTTTCCACTTAGCGTCTACTGCTTCTTCTTTTTCCCACCTCCCCCACCAATGACAGTCCTGCAAGTGTCTCGTCTATCACTTTCTGCTGGCTATCAGGACTCTCCCTCGGATGTCCCACAGACTCATGGAAATGTACCCAAAGTGAACTCATCATTGCCCCGCAAAATTGGGCAACTATAGGTGTTTTTAATTATGGCAACCTTATCTACCAAAGAAAGAACTCCAAGTCATCCTAGACTCTTCCTTCTCATTTAAGCAGCACATTTAGTCAGTTACCAAATTTCCTAAATTCTGCTTTGTGATTGCTTGTATTCTTCCTCTCCTATCATACTGACACTTTTTTAGTTTAACCCTTATAAACCAAAGAATATATCTTACTCATTTTGATTTTCTAATCATGTCTAACACATATTTAGGACTTGGTAAATGTGTGAAATAAACAAAGCTATCTTAACTACCATAATAACTATAGATCTATAAAATCTTCCTATATTGTTTTGAGTATGTTTTTGAGTTGCAACGTTATTTTTGTTTTGAGACAAAGTTCTTACTCTGTTGCCTAGGCTGGAGTGCAGAGACAATGTCTCACTATGTTGCCCAGGCTGGTCTTGAGCTCCTGAAATCAAACAATCATCCTGCCTCAGCCTCCCAAAGTGCTAGGATTACAGGCATGAGCCACCTTGTCCAGCCTCAACATTTTGTTAATAGGTCAGATGGCTATGTCTGTTAGTGTTCAGTCCCTCTGTCTTTTCTTTTCCACTTTGATAGCCAGAATATGACACAAAGATTTGTATGTGATTCCTTTGTACTTATAGGACTATGTTATTTTCTAAATGATCATTTAATGACAGTTTAAGAACTATTAATTGAGAACTCAAAACAGCATGCTATTGCATTAAGATTTGCATACTTATTCCATTAATTTATGGAAACCAGACTGTAGTTAGGGGACAAAGTAACAATGCAGGGGAAGATTAGGGGCATGGAAGGGTACTAGGAATTGGTAAAGCTAAATAATTTTGATCAAAAACATCCAAGGAAACCAGACTGTGGAACAAGAGCATCTAGACAGCATACAGACAGCATAAGATTGTAAAAGAACAAAGATTTCCCAGCATTCATTATATTTATAGGGTTGTAACATTTTAGAGCTAACAGAGAACCTACAAGATTTCTAACTCCAAAATCATTCATTTACCAAATAAAGAACCATAACCTGGTGGAAGTAGGTGACTTGTCCAAGGCAGTGGCAAATTAGGACTACATACCAGGTCTCTGGGCTGTCCAGTTAAACACGCTCACATTTTTCTCTCCAGTGTAAAGTCTCTGATGGCCAAAGGAGAATGTGCAGTATGATATAACAGAACTTATCTTCAGCATGAGTCTTCATTGTTTATATTAGCCACTTAAACCTTTTGATATAAAGTAAGTTATACCTTCTGAATCAAGATTTCTCTACTTTTAGATGAATTCTCTGCAGTGGTATTATCTGATATATTATACTTCAACTGGAAAATTCCCACAATCATCACATTTATTAGGTTTCTACATTGTATGTCTTACATGATTATTACTGAAGAGTTAAACATGATGTAGGGGCCAGTGGAAACATTCCTCACGTATGAGTTCTCTGATGTCGAGTAAGGTTTGTACTCCGGCTGAAGGCTTTTCCGCATTCATTACACTGATAGGGTTTCTCTCCTGTATGAGTTCTCTGATGCACTGTAAGGGATGAATTCTTAATGAAGGCTTTTCCACACTGATCACATTCATAGGGTTTCTCACCAGTATGAATTCTTTGATGTTCAATAAGGTAAGCACTCTGGCTGAATGCCTTTCCACATTCATTGCACTCATAAGGTTTCTCTCCAGTGTGAATAACCTGATGCACAGTAAGGGATGATCGTCCAGTGAAATGTTTTCCACATACCATACACTCATAAGGTTTCTCTCCAGTGTGAATTCTCCGATGTTGAGTTAGAGATGAATTCTTACTGAAAGCTTTTCCACACTGATTACATTCAAAAGGTTTTACTCCAGAATGAAGCCTCTGATGTTCTATAAGATATGTACTTTGGCTAAAGGATTTCTCGCATTTGTTACATTTGTAGGGTTTTTCTCCAGTGTGATTTCGCTGATGTAGGGTAAGAGTTGAGCTCTTACTAAAGGCTTTGCCACACTGACTACACTCATAGGGTTTTTCTCCAGTATGGCTTCTCTGATGGACAATAAGATGCATGCTTTGACTGAAGGCTTTTCCACATTCATTACATTCATAGGGTTTTTCTCCTGTATGAGTTCTCTGATGGACTGTCAAATTCATGCTTTGGGTAAAAGCTTTCCCACATTCATTACATCTGTAGGGTTTCTCTCCAGTATGAATCCTTTCGTGTTGAATAAGAGATGAATTCTTATGGAAGGCTTTGCCACACTCTTTACACTGATACGGTTTCTTTCCAGTGTGAGTTCGTTGATGGACAGTAAGATTCATGCTCTGACTAAAGGCTTTCCCACATTCATTACATTTATAGGGTTTCTCTCCAGTATGAATTCTTTGATGTACATTAAGGGAGGAGCGTTCAATGAAGTGTTTCCCACATACATTACACTTAAAGGGTTTCTCCCCAGTATGAATCCTCTGGTGCTTAAGAAGGGATGAGCTCTGGCTGAAGGTTTTGCTGCACTGATTACATTCATATATCTTCTTTCCTACCAACATTCTTTGAGTTTTAACTAACTCAGAATTTTGCGTGGCATCTTCTCCATGTGAATTACAGTTATGGGGCCTTTTTACCATAGGAATGCTTTGTTGTGTATCAAGGATTGAATCCTGACTGGAACATCTTTCAAATTCATTACCTCCACATACTCTCCTCTCGGTGAAGGTTTTCTTAGGGGTAACTGCCACTTGGCTCAGATGACTATCCTGTTGTCCCTCTAACCAATTATTAGGTTCCCAGGTTTCCCCTACAGTAGAATGCCAGACACCTTCCCTTTCCATTAGTACCCCATGGCATAAATCTTCAGTAATATTGGGCTTCAGAGTTGGCGCTTTGGTTTCAAGTCTTGTCTCCCAGTCTGAGAAAAAAAAAAAAATTCAAGTGCACATTGGTTTCTATGCTGGGAGACTGGAAACTGCATAAGGTGGGAATGAGAGAATTAAACTAGCTATCAAACTAAAATAACTGTTGAGCACATTTGAGAGCTTTCAAAGATGCACCCAAAATAAGGTAGAGAAATAGGAAGAGAGAGAAAGAACACTGAACTGGTCCACAGATAACAGGGAAACTGAAAGCAGGGGATGGCAGATATACTGGGTAAGCAGAGAAAAGAGTGAGCCCTTTCAGGAGGGATGCACAGTGAAGGCACTGGCCACTGGAGTAGGTGCTACATAAAGAAGATGGAACGAAGGAAACAGATGCAGAAGAGCTGGGCTTGGGAAAGGCAGATCAGGAGACCCTGCACACTGTACCTGGTATTCCTAGCAGCAGTTTCTTTCCTCCTACAAGGCCACCTAGGAATCCTACACCAAATTAATCTTCCTAAAATGTCACAGTGTGACACAGTGTAAAGATTGCTGACCCAAAGTCAGACAAACTTGGATTCAAACCCTGGCTCTTAACATCATCTTAAGTAGTTACTTGTCTCACTGGGTCTGAGGGTCACAGATACAAAATGAGGATTAAGAAATATGGTCAAGGCTGGGCGCGGTGGCTCATGGCTGTAATCTCAGCACTTTGAGAGGCCAAGGCAGGCGGATCACTTGAGGTCAGGAGTTCAAGACCAGCCTGGCCAAAATGGTGGAATCCCATGTCTACTAAAAATACAAAAATTAGCTGGGCATGGTGGCAGGTGCCTGTAGTCTTAGCTACTTGGGAGGCTGAGATGGGAGGGTTGCTTGAACCCAGGAGGTGGAGGTTGCAGTGAGCTGAGGTAGTACCACCGCACTCCAGCCTGGGTGACAGAGTGAGACTCTGTCTCAAAAAAAAAAAAAAAAAAAAAAGGAAAAAAAAGAAATATGATACAGGAAGTAAATAAAATATGATAGGAAGTAAATAACAATCTATGTGGTATAGTTTGGATGTGTGTCCCCACCAAAATTTCATATTGAAATGTAATCCCCGGTGTTGGAGGCGGGGCCTTATGGGAGGTGATTGTATCATGGGAGTGGTTTCTTATGAAAGGTTCAGCACCATCCCCCTTGGTACTGTCCTCTCTATCATGAATGAGTTCTTGTGAGATCTGGTTATTTACAAGAGTGTAGCACCTCCCTCCTCACTCTTGCTCTTGCTTTTGCCATTTGATGTGCCTGCTTCCCCTCACCTACTGCCATGATTGTAAGCTTCCTGAGGCCTCCCCAAAAGCAGATGCTGGCACTATGCTTCTTGTACAGGAACTGTGAGCCAGTTAAGCCTTTTTTCTTATAAATTACCCAGTCTGAGGTATTTCTTCATAACAATGTGAGAATTGACTAATACAGAAAATTGGTACTGGGAAGTGGAGAATTTCTATAAAGATACCTGAAAATGTGGAGGTGACTTTGGAATAATTGGGTAACAGACAAAGGTTGGAAGGGTTTGGAAGACCCAGAAGAAGACAGGAAGATAAGGGAGAGTTTGGAACATCTTAGAAACTGGTTAAATGGTTGTGACCAAAATGCCAATAGTGATAGGGACAGTGAAGTCTTGGTTAAGGTCTCAGATGGAAATGAGGAACTTACTGGGAATTGGAGGAAAGGTCACTTTTGCTGTGTCTTAGCAAAGAACTTGGCTGCAGTGTGCCCCTGCCCTAGGGATCTGTGGAACTTTGAACTTGAAAGTGGTGATTTAGGGTATCCGGTGGACGAAATTTCTAAGCAGCAAAGCACACAAGAGGTGGGTTGGCTGCTAACAATCTATGCTCAGATGTGAGAACAAAGAAATGACTTAAAACTGGAACTGATATTTAAAAGGGAATAAGTGGAAAATTTGCAGCCTGGCCATGGGGTAGAAAAGAAAAGCCCATTTTCAGAGAAGGAATTCAGGCAGGCTGCAGAAATTTACATGAGTAAAAAGGACCCAAGTACTAATAAGCCAAGACAATGGGGAAAAGACCTCAAAGGCATTTCAGAGAACTTCACAGCAGCCCCTCCCACCAGAGGCCTAGGATGACTGAATGGTTTCCTGGCCCAGGGCCCAGCACAGCCTTGGGACACTGCTCCCTGCATCCCAGCCACTCCAGATCCACCCATGGCTGAAAGGGGCCAGGTTACAGCTCAGGCTGCTGCTTCAGAGGGTACAAGCCGTAAGCCTTGGCAGCTCTGATATGGTATTAAAGCCTGTGGGTATACACAGTTCAACCGTTAATAAGGCTTGGGAACCTCTATCTAGATTTCAGAGGATGTATAGAAAAGCCTAGGTGTCCAGGTAGAAGCCTGCTGCAGGGGCAGAGGCCACACAGAGAACCGATCCAAGGGCAATGCAGAGGAGAAATGTGGCATTGGAGCCCCCATGTAGAATCCCCACTGGGGCACTGCCTAGTAGACCTGTGAGAAGAGGACTACACACTTAAAAGTGTGTAGCACCTCCCCCTGCCACTCTCTTGCTCCTGATTTTATCATTTGATGTGCCTGCTCCCCTTTGCCCTCCACTATGATTGTAATAAGCCTCCTGAGGCTTCCCTAGAAGCAGATACTGGCACTAATGCTTCCTATACAGCCTGTAGAACCATAAGCCAATTAAACTTTTCATATAAATTACCCAGTCTCAGCTGGGCATGGTGGCTCATGGCTGTAATCCCAGCACTTTGGGAGGCTGAGGTGGGTAGATCACCTGAGGTCAGGAGTTCAAGACCAACCTGGCCAACATAGCGAAACTCCATCTCTACTAAAAAAAATACAAAAAAAAAAAAAAATTAGCCGGGTGTGATGGTGTGCACCTGTAATCCCAGCTACTGAGAAGGCTGAGGCAGGAGAATCACTTGAACCCAGGAGGTAGAGGTTGCAGCGAGCCAAAATTGCGCCATCGCTCTCTAGCCTGGGTGACAAAAGTGAAACTACATCTCAAATAAATAAATAAATAAATAAACAAACAAATGAATAAATTACCTAGTCTCAGGTGTCTCTTTATAGCAATGTGAGGACAGACTAATACAGTATGTAAACTACCCTTTGGGAATATACTCCTCTGGAACATAAAGTACCAGAACATACATGAAACTTAAAGGGAGGATGACACAATCTAGAGGTTTCTTCCCCTTAAACTTTAAGCAGGCTGTAACTTATTCACAGGGGTAAGACAGTCCTAAAGGATCCTACTACTTCCTAAATATCCATTCCTTAAAGATGAGAACTGGTGGTAGGGACAGGCAAGGGCATCTGCTGAACTGTTTGAGAGGATGCTGGAAAAGGACCTTGCAGCTACTCAGACTTCCATTTTCTTAGATCCTATTTCTTATCCCAGACAAAATAAGGGGTAGGGGGCTGGAACTGCAACCTGAGAATCAGCTTTTTGACTGCTGATCAAAGTCAACAGAGAGAGCTCAACACTGAACAAACCAACCAAAGGCCTATGGGCACAAGCTTTCCTGTGAAGCAAGAAATATGCATTAACCAGGCCTATTTCTTCCAACCTGATCTGCTTACGTGAAAAGAGAGAAAAAGTGGAAAGTCCAGCAGGCCCCACCTCCAAAACCACCAAGTGACCCCAAACAGAGGACCTGTCAGACTCAGTATGAAAATACCAGCAGGTGGCCGGGCGTGGTGGCTCACGCCTGGAATCCCAGCACTTTGGGAGGCCAAGGCAGGCGGATCACGAGGTCAGGAGATTGAGACCATCCTGGCTAACACAGTGAAACCCCGTCTCTACTAAAAATACAAAAAATTAGCCAGGCATAGTGGCACACACCTATAGTCCCAGCTACTAGGAGGCTGAGGCAGGAGAATGGTGTGAACCTGGGAGGCGGAGCTTGCAGTGAGTCGAGATGGTGCCACTGCACTCTAGCCTGGGTGACAGAGCAAGATCCTGTCTCAAAATATAAAAATAAAAATAAAAGCTAAAAAAATAGAAACTACCTACTGGGAGAAAATATTTGCAACATATGACCCACAAAAAACTAGAATGGAGACTTGGAAAATAACGCTTATGAAACACCAAGCCCACTAGAAAAATGGGCAAAAGACTTGAATAAGCACTTAAGAAAAGGAAACCTGAATGGTCTGCAAACGTAAGCAAAGATGCCCAATCTCAACAGTAACCAAGGGAAAGCCGATTAAAGCTGCAACAAGATACCATTACCACATTCGCCCAAGTAATAAAACGTAAAAATTCAAACTGACAGCTTCAGATTTTGGAAAGATGCAGTAATGGGAACTTCCACATACTCCTGGTGGAAATACAATCTGATTCAAGCATTTGAAAAATAGTTTAGTGGCCGGGCGCGGTGGCTCAAGCCTGTAATCCCAGCACTTTGGGAGGCCGAGACGGGCGGATCACGAGGTCAGGAGATCGAGAGACGATCCCGGCTAACACGGTGAAACCCCGTCTCTACTAAAAAATACAAAAAAATAGCCGGGCGAGGTGGCGGGCGCCTGTAGTCCCAGCTACTCGGGAGGCTGAGGCAGGAGAATGGCGTAAACCCGGGAGGCGGAGCTTGCAGTGAGCTGAGATCTGGCCACTGCACTCCAGCCTGGGTGACAGAGCAAGACTCCGTCTCAAAAAAAAAAAAAAAAAAAAAAGAAAAAAAGAAAAATAGTTTAGTACAACCTAGAGCAAGCACATTGGCTGATTTAGCAAGTCTACTACTAGGTACATATACTTAGGTAACTCTACCTTGCAACAGTATGAGAATTCATGATTCTTCACGTAGCATTGTGTACAACAGCAAAAATTGGAAACAACACAAATGCCTATCATCAAAAAATAGACAACAAGATTGTCAAGTGTTTATACAATGGAATAACTGACAACAGCGAATATTAATAAACTAAAGCTACACATATCAATATGAATGAATAAGCAAAGGCACATAATATATATATGTGTGTGTGTGTGTGTGTATATATATATATATATATATAAAAGATTCAATTTAAAGTTTTA